GGAGGAGGAGCAGGAGGAGGAGGAGGAGGATGAGGATGAGGAGGATGAGGAGGAGGAGGAGGAGGGAGGAGGAGGAGGGAGGAGGAGGAGGAGGAGGAGGAGGAGGAGGAGGAGGAGGGGGAGCAGGAGGAGGAGAGGGGTGGGGGGAGGAGGAGGAGGAGGAGGAGGAGGAGAGGAGGAGGAGGAGGAGGAGGAGGAGGAGGAGGAGGAGGAGGAGGAGGAGGAGGAGGAGAGGGAGGAGGAGGAGGAGGAGGAGGAGGAGGAGGAGGAGGAGGAGGAGGAGGAGGAGGAGAAGAAGAGGGCGCCCCGCCACAGCAGGACGGGCGGTGGCTCGTGGAGCTGGAGGGGGAGCAGGCTCCGCCGCCCGGGGGAGTGGTGGGCATTTGAGGCCTCGTGCCATCAGCACAGCTCGTTGAGGCCTCGTGTCGTCAACAGCACAGCTCGAAGCCGCACCTAGACTTTAAGTCGGGCATGTTCCTCTACACAGGGGTATCTTCAAAAATAGTCCCACATTAGTTTGGTGACTTTTCTGTTTCTTGAATCTGTTTTGACTCGTTTCTATTTGCCGTCCAACATACGCCTGTCGGAGGACATACCCGACCTAAACCTAGACGGCGCACTGGGCCGGAATATTTACGAACTCGCACATGCAGAAACATCGAGGACAAAGTGTCAACACCGCGCGCGCCATGCAAGAAGGAAGAGGTGCGCAGCCACTGGCATGCGTAGTGCTGGCGGCACGCTCTCCAGTTGCCTTTGTGTAATGGGGGGGCGATGAATTGGGGGGCGGCGAGGGCTGTCGAAGAAGTGGCCCCTTGGGGCCCCAAACTGAGCCCTGCAGGGCCCCCAAGGGGGCCTCTGGGGCCCTAAGAGGGCACCTCTCTCTCTCTCTCTCTCCCCCCCATTTATCGCCCACCCCCCCTGAATTCGAGCCCAACGCGCCCAGGGGAGGGTTCGGTCGGGGCTCAAGAGACGGGGTCAATGCAAACGGGGGTCAGTCAGAGCGCTGGATCTTGCAGGATCTTGCAGGGCCAGGGGTGCACTGACCCGGGCTTGGGTGCAGGCTTTCGCAGGATCTTGTAAAGCCTGACTGACCCCGGTCTGGATTGACACGTGTCCGTGGATCCCTTATTCGGCATCGAGCTGGTAGACGGGGGCCAGTGCAAACAGGGGTCTTAGAGAAGGAACAAGTACTGATATCGCTACCCTTCCTCCGTGTTTCCCTTTTTCGGCCTCCTGGGAGGCCCTCGCCGCTACCGCTGGATTCGCCTCGAAATTCTGGCCAGAACGCACCCCGAGAGAGGTCCGGGAAGAAGCGGTATCGGTACCTTTTGGTGCCCCCAGGGGTCAGCCAGAGCGCCAGATTTTGCAGGACCTTGCAAAGCCAGGGCTGCATCGGCCCACTGCAGGATCCTGCCAAGGCCCGACTGGCCCAGGGGTGCACTGACCTGGGCCAGCAAGTCCCCGACGGTAGCAGATCGGGGGGGTCTTGTGCGGCAGGCTCGCGTCGTGTCGACCGGCGGCGACCCCAGCTCGGGCGTGGAAGGTTGAACGCCGCCCGTGGCCCAGGATTGTCGGGGGTGGACAGAACCCCCAACAGTGACACGTCGATTAGTGAATTGTCCGTTTTCGGTTCTCGAGAGGGCGCCGTGGCCGTTATTTTCCAGGCTTGCGCCCGCCAGGTTTGGGCCTCAGGTCGTTTTCACTAAACCACGTTTTACTAAAGGGGGGTCTGTCCATCCCCGAGATTGGCCTATCGCTGCACGATCAGGCGTTTCTGAAACGGCCGCATGTCCTCGTCATTCCGTTGTGAGAGTGCATCATCGGTTCCCTAGTTCAGGCTTCCTTCTCAGCTCAGCCAGGCCCCCTCCCAGAGGGTCAGGGGTCCGCTAATCGCTGATCATCGGGTGCACGTGGGGTGGGTGTTGTTCGATGTCTGTTCCTGGGAGCCTTGGGCAGCGACATGAAACTCAGCTCCTCCTACATTTGGACCCCGTCGGGACCGCATTCGGCCCTTCCTCGTGTCCCTCCTCGCCCTGCTTGTTCTTCCTCCCCCCAAGCATTCTTCTCGTCTCCCTTGTAAAGGGGAGAAGTCGGCCCAGGCCATGCAGTCAACCCGCATGGTAAGGATGGGCAACCTTCCCACGGGTACCCTTGCATCCTTGCCTCCTCGGTCCATCCTTGGCCACTTTCGTTGGCCGCGCCCCGCTAGAAAAGCTGCGAAATGGGCGTTTAAGAACCTTGCATCCTTATTGCGCGTCCTTATGATATGGGTTGGCTGTATCTGACAGCACCGGGGGCCACGATGGCTCGCATTTAACAGACACCACAGATGCTGGGCGTCAGTGGGTGGCCCAGATCAGGGGCGAAGTTCAAAAGCGTACCCTCGTCGATCAACGATTCAGGCATCTCGACGAACGGCGGGGGTAGTGTTTGGAATTCGTCGAACACGTGGCGGAATTCGAACCCTACCCCCGCGTTCCATCAATTCAGGAGAACTTTGATGGTTGGTGGGAATAGGGTTCAGATGTCGCCACCTACTAGAGGTCCTCGAGGCGGTTGGCACTTCCGTCTGGGCCTAGCGGGATGGCCAGGCGTGATAGGGGGTGATGGCGTTCTGGCGGACCCGGGCGCGAGTGCACGTTCGCAATTGCGGCGCGCACGGGGGGGGCGCGGTGGTGGGGGGGCTTTCTAGGAAGGTGGGCCAAAGGCCCCCCCCCCACAGCGGCGGCAACGAACGTACGTAACAGGGGGGGGCGGGGGGCTGGACACCCCCAACATGCTAGTGCTCGCGCGCATACTACGGCGGTCGCAGCGCGCCGCCGTCCCGACGGGCCCCACCCCGCCCAAGCGTTCCCGTTGCCAGGGCTCCCCCCCGCTCACGTAATGATTGTTACCCGAAATCATAAGAACAAATCTCTTGATCCTCGGCTTCTTACCCTCCCCTCGGGCAGGAAGAGCCAGCTGCGTGGGGCAAGAGAAGGTGTCAGACGGCGCAGGGATGGGATACATATCTCCAGAGCGTTCGGGAAGGTTCTGAGACGTTCTGAGAGTGGTCTGGGTCGCTCTGGAATGACCGTGGCGCCCGATGCAACTTCCAGAGCCGCCATTTCCCAGAGATCCCCAGCTTCTCCCGACCAGCTCTGTCCCCTTCTTGTCCAAGTTTTGGGGGGAGGAGGGGTTCATACCGTAATGCGCTGGTGCCCTTCACACGATCGTTGTAGCAGCCAGCTGCGCCTCGCGAGTCAAGATGTGACCACCGCTGGGCGATTTCGTAGCCAGTTGGCCCACGCCGTTCGGCACAGCTTGCTCTTTTCCCAGCCACCCTGGCGCAGGCTGCCGTGCAAGGCAATGTTTCTCTGCTGCACCGAGTCTTCGAAGGGCCCCGTTGAGACCATCCCGACCGAGGGCGAGGAGCCAAAGGCCGATCCTGCTGAGCAGGCTACGCCAGAGCCGATCACGTGGGAGGTCACTCTGAAAAGAGCCGGGTGCTGCAGGAAGTCTAAGATCGGCGCGCTCTTCGACGCCGTCTCAGAGGGTGACAAGGCGCTCCGTGTCAAGGAGATCCTCAAGGCAGGCGTCGTCCCGAAGTGGAATGCCCAGCAGCCGAGCAAGCAGGTCCAGGTCGACGACCTCATCACAGACTGTAACGGCGTGACGCTCGATGCTCAGAAGATTCTGAAGACAGTCAATTCGGCGAGCGTGCTTACATTGACCGTCTCTCGGGTTGGTCCCCCGGTCCCAACGGTGGATCCCCCGGTCCCACCTGTCGTCATTTCAAATGACCAGTGAACCATCCGTTGCAAGGAGGAATGGACGGGGACGTAGTGCTGAGGATAGAGGGGATGTGGAAGGGATGGGGTAAGGGATGCCGCAATGATCGGACATGCGGGCACTCTGGAGTGGAGTGCCCGTCGTGAGCCAAAGGAGCTCCCGGCTGTAACGCACCACGACTGTTTTTTCTTGTATTCCATCGCGTTGTGCACAACAGGAGCTGTCAAATAATGACACATGGCTGTTAGCTCATCGACCTGGTCCTTGAAGCTCCGAGTGTGTGGGTAATCGGGCACAGATCTTGCTATGGTGGTAGTCAGGCGCAGTCTGACTTCCCTCCCAGGCGCGGGAGACCCCTGCATTGCTGCGTTTATCTTCGTGCAGATCCACCTGCGGCTTGGAAAAAGGTTGCCCTCGCGCACACCAGCACTGCATCATGCATGTGCAGATGCACTACAGCGGCAGAAGCAGAGCGGGGGCGGAACCAAACGGTTGCCCCCGAGGTAATGTCAATTTTGTTGGTCTCCGGGTTCCTGGAGCGGGCCCTGTCGGCGTGGCAGCACACATGCCTCCCTGCAGTTACCCATCGGTCGTTGAAAGTAGGTATTCTTGGATTCCGAGATTCCACTCTACTTTAAGCGCCTTCCTACTTCAATGATCGAGCGGCTTCACCTTTTCTGTCCTCCTTAGCGGACGGAACCCAATCTATTTTCGACGCCTTCCTACTTTATGTTTCTACCTACTTTTTCCGACCGATAGGTAGCCTGCCCGGGATTGCCAGGATGGTGCCACCGCTGTCTGTAGCAAAGTAGTCAGAGTGAGGTGTGCTGCATCCTCTGGGGACCTTGTCTGTCCCGTCGCGGCCCTATCCGTGTCGAATCCGTGTCGAATCTCGTCGGATCCGTGTCGAATCCGCGCCAAATCCGCGCCGAGTCCGCATCGAGCCCCGCGTTGGGCACAAGAAAAGACACCAATTTTGGGGACAGGCGAGGTCCCCCGAAGATGCAACCTAAGCAAAGTAGTCAGAGTGAGGGGGGTGAACGCACTTACACCGGCCCTGGGTGCGTGGCTCAGGTGTCGTTCCGTCGGGCGGATTCTGCCCGTTCCCCACCCGACAGGTTGAGGCTGTTGGAATTTCAGGAAAGAACTCCCGTCTGCCCACCCTGCACCATCCACCAAACCACCCCGACCCAACCCGAAGGCCCCAATTTACCCTTCATTCCCAGTGGGGGGTCGTCGGGGGACATTGAAAAGACACATGTGGAACTCGTACCCCCCCCCAACCCGAAATTGGGGTCTTCGGGTTGGGTTGGGGTGGTCTTGTAGGAAGGCAACCCTGCATACCGTGGTCGCCAGGCCCCACGGGATGCTCACAGGGTTCCGGGAATCCCTGAGTATCCCGCTTTGCGTCCTCGACGAATGGCGACACTATACCGCGGTCGCCAGGCTCCACAGAATCCCGCGAATCCCTGAGTGTCCCGACTCGCGTCCTCGACGAATGACGACACCTTGCATAATTACCAGACCGTCCCGAGGGGGAATCGTCACGCCGTCCAGGCGTCACGACGCATGAGCAACGGGGCACGAAGAATCGCCATCAGTAACACACCAAAATCGGACACACATACCATACCATACCAGAATACCGAATGATTGACCAGAGCACTACGTAACACCGCATATTATCACATAATATAGCATACCATACTATAGCACGGTTTAGCATCGTTTCCCTTCAATACCACAACAGATCATGGCATCGCATGCTACGTCAGAGCGGATCATATCAAAGTGTGCCATAGCGAGAAAGGTGATACACCAAACTTATTGTATTGTCGTTTCCATTGCGGCACAGAACATAATGTACCATGTAGTCACGTACTTCAATTACGTGAGTCTGGATGCCAGTGAATAACATATCATGATGGAAGGAACCAGTCATACCATAATACGGCTCAGTACAACAGGGTACGACCGATCACATCATGACAAACCACATCATTCCATACTACAGCATCTCGCAGCATAACATTACAAGCCACATTGCGACATAACGGGTCACGCCATTAGTTGTTTTATTATTGTTGCCACGACGACACCGTACGACATATATTCTAAATGTTGAGAGCGTAATTGTAACAGGAATGACGCACCATAGCAGCCTCTAGCAGAGTATCCATTTGCATGCGGCAAGCCCCGCCACCGTGCCTGTGCAACAGCGTAGCAGGAAGGAGGCTGAGTGTAGGAACAGCGCAAGTCCGAGGAGTAGTCTGCATTGGGGCGGGTCGTAATCCCGACCTCGTCTTCGTCCGCGCGGTAGGGAGGAGCATGATCAGGAGGAGGAGGAGGAGGAAGAGGACGAGGAGGAGGAGGAGAACATGAGGACGAGGATGAGAAGGTTTCGTAGGGCCTCCTGGGAGCTTCCTGGAAGCTTCTTGGCGGCTTAAAGGGGGCCTCATGATGCCTCTTGGAGGCCTCTTGGGACCCCCTGGGCCGTCTTGGGGGATTCTTGGCCCGTCTGACGTCCATGGAGGCCGTCTTGGGGCCTCTCTAGACCGTGGTGGTGTCACTCACTCCTTTCGCCTTTCGTCCTCCCAGATCATCCCTCCTCCCTCCTCGCCCTCCTTGCCTCTGCCCTCATCAGGATGCGTTTCCCCCACCCAGTACAACGTTTCGTGGCCCCATAGGGAGCTCCACCGAGGGCCCCAATGGCACCGCCCGCATGCGTCTCCCCCACCCAGTACAGCGCTTCGTGGCCCCATAGTGATCTCCTCCAAAGGCCCCAGTGGCACCGCCGACAATGTTGGAGGGAAGCAGCAGCCTACCAGCCTATCCCGGTGCCGTGCCCGAAGGATTCCCTGAGCTTCTGAGGCCGCATCCCTGAGATTGTCATCGTCTGTGGGCTTGTTCACCTCAGGGGTAAGGATCAGCTCGAGGCTGGCCACGAGCCACTGGGCACCGGGCGCTTCGGAGGTCCGCCCGTCCAGCAGCGCGGGGCCTCGCCCGGCCCCATCCTCCGAGCGGCGAAGCCCATGGTTTTAGGCCTTCTAGATGGGGTCGGAGCAGGTGGTGTCGGAGGATCGTGCCGCATCGCCGATGCATCGGCGATGCATCACCAGACATGATCGCGTCGCTTAAACATCAGAACGCCAAGTTTTCGTTATTTTCGGCCCCTGGGGGCCCTCGCCGGGACCCGGGACCGGCAAGAAACGAGGCAGGATGACAGCCCCGGGGGAAAGGGTCAGGGTTTCCGAGGTCGCCGTCCTGAAAAAATCAGGACGTCGCATGTCTGGGTCTGCGACGCGGCTCGATGAGGGGCCCAATTTTCTCCACGCCGGCGTCCCCGATGCATCGCCGACGTCGCCAGGGCATGGCCGACGCATCGCCGATGCGTCGGCGATGCATCGCCGATGTGTCGTCGATGCGGCCAGCTCCTCCGACCCCGTCTTACCCAGACCCCCGACGTCGTGAATGGTTCACAACGTCGACCCCCATAGGTCTGGACCTCTTCCCAGCGACCGGTTTTTCATCCTGAGTCGTTTTTTGACAGTCCCGAGGCCCGGGAAGGGACCCCGGAGGCCGAACAAATAGGGAACAATTGTCCGTCGTGATTTTGTTCACTGCGCAAGGGGGTCTGGGCACTCAGACCCCATCGAGGAGGCCTCGAATGGTCGGGGGCCCCAAAGCGACGTGGTGAGCACACCGCGTGGCGAGTCTCAGCGGGGATCAGGGCTGGACCTGCACGCTGGTTTGCTGGACCTCGGCTGTGTTTTGTTTTCCGTTTTGGCAGGGAGGTACAGGAAAAATTGATAGAATAACACGAACAACAAACAACGAGCACATGACGAAAAGCAGCGCCCAGGTCCAGTCCTGCTGGGGCTATGTGGGGCCACCGCGCGGTTTTGTGGGCCCTCGGGCCGTCCGAGAGGACGCCGCTCGGGAGGCCGGGGCCCCCAGGGCCCTCGCCTCTGGGCTCGCCCATCGGAGGGTTAAGCCGGGCGTTCCCGTAGGAAGATTCCCACATGGCAAGACCAGCCACAAAACCGTCTGCAGGGAGGACGGGCCCCCTATTTCTTGACTCAGTTTGAGCGCTTTCTGACTATTTGTCTGTTTTTTCCTCCGAGGTCCGCCTGCAGGAGGGCCCGCCCGCCCCGCTCTCGGGGGCAGGTTCGCGTGCCGCTCCGACGGGCTCCGGCCCCGCGTGTCGCTCCGCCGGCAGCGTGTCGCTCCGCCGGCTCTGGCTGGGAACTCTCGGATGGCCCAGTGCCGCTCCGCCGGCTCTGGGCCCGCCGCGCTTTTCGGCGCGGCGCGCCGTCTCCACCAGCACACAGACACAATTGATCGTCGACTCCCAGGGAACTGTGGGAAAACATGGGAAGTGGGGGGGAGGACGAAAATCCAGGAAATACGAATACAGATATAGGGAGCCCTGGGATTTGTGTGTATTTATCTGTGTGTTCCAGGGCCCCTTTACTCCTGCCCCTCCGCGTCCACTCCCCGAGCTGGTCCCGAGCCTCCCGCCCCGCGTAGCGCTGCGACACGCCAATCCGCCAGCAGGGCACGGCGTGTCGCTGGGGTCGCCGCGGCAGCGCGCCTCAGTTAAGCAAGCGTTCCTCATCGCAGGCTTACATCGGGCATGTCCCTTTACAGCGTGCAGGAGGAATCTTCAAAAATAGTCATGGAATGGTCTTGGGACGAGTCCTTTCTTATTTTGGGCCAATCTTCGAATCTGTTGCAACTACGCTTTATGTTTCGTCAAAACCCGCCTGTAGGTGGAGATCCGCCTGTGGGTGGGCACGCCCGACCTTGCCGCAGGCTCGAGGCCGCTTGGCGGCGAGCTCGCGCGCGCGCCGAGGGGGGGAGAGCCCGTGCCCCGGCCCCGGGGGGCGGCGGAGAGAGGCCGTGGCCCTCGGCGCCGAGCACCTGGCGAGGCTGGAGGCCGCCCCCGCCCCCGCGCCGGAAGGGGGGGTGACCTCAGGCGTCGGCCACGCTAAGGCGATCGCACGCCTGGATCCAAGAAGGGGGGGGGCGCGGATCGGCGACGGGTCCCGCTTCCGCGGGAGATCGCGGATGTCCGCCGCCGAGCGAGGCGGCACTGGCCGCAGTTTGGGGAGGGTACCTCCCCCGATCCATGGCTTTGGCGATTGTGCGCCAAATTTATGGATCGCTAATCCATGTTTGCGAGCCCCCAGATGAGGTGAAGTCGGGCATGTCCCTCTACAGGAGGAATATTCGAAAATGGTAAATCAATAGTCTGTGGACGATTTGTTTTACTATTTTGACCAGTTTTGAACTTTTTTTGACTATTTTGAAATGTTCCTCCACAACCTGGCTGTAGGAGGACATGCCCGACCTAATGATGAGGATGGGTAGCTTTCCCAGGAGTGCCCTTGCATCCGCGCCTCTTCGGTGCATCCTTGACCACTTCCGATGGCCCGCCTCGCTCGCAGAAAGCTCCAACAACACGGGCGTCCAAAGGGGTTTGCACCCTCATCGAGCATCTTTGCTGTCAGTTTTGATTGTATGCGTGAGAGTCATTTTAAGCATGAGTCGTTGCCGTCCCCGAATGTTTGCGTCTATGACAGCTTATTCGTGGTCGCTAATTGGCGGTAGTAGGCGCTAAGGGATACCAGTAGGCGCCAGCAGGCGCTAATAGGCGCTAATAAGGACATTGATGGACACTAATGGGCGTTAGTCAGGCGGAGCCCGTCATAAAATCACTCAGACATAATACGCATGAGAGTGACCAGGCATGGTCCATGTCGATCGGCTACGCGCAAGAGTGACCTTTCGCCTGAGTGACCTTTGGTTCAAGCAGCGATGAAGCGTCCAGGCTCGCCTACACAAGAATGTTCCAAGAACCTTTTGTAGTCTGCACGAAGTGCTCTTAGAACATGTTGGCCGAGATTGTCTTGTTTAACACATTGGGGCTGTTATCTGAGAATATTGTTTTTGTTCTGAGGTAGGCTATACAGTCAACCCGCATGGTAAGGATGGGCAACCTTCCCAAGGGTACCCTTGCATCCTGCCCTCCTCGGTCCATCCTTGGCCACTTTCGTTGGCCGCGCCCCGCACGAAAAGCTACGACATGTGTGTCCAAGGCCCTGGCATCCTTACCGCGCATCCTTATGATACGGTGGGGGCGTTGGTTAAGGAACGTGCCCAGGAGGCTTCAGCCCCTGGAGGGTTCCTTATCTGATGAGGGCGGCGGTGATACCCATGGCTAAGCTTCGATTGGAGTTCCTCCGGCCTCCAGACCTTGGTTCCTTGCCGAAGGGTTCCTCATCCAGTGCCCCCACCGTGCGGGCCGACTGTAGGAATGCCGGGACGGTCGGTCCCTGCTCAGTCTTGGTGCGGGCCCGTTTGGGATCTCCCGATCGTGGAGCGCGTTCTGCGATGCAGCAGCGGCCCAGGCGGCTGGACCCCGGAGGCCGCGCACCGGAGGTCACTCTGCCCTGTAGGGTCACTCCTTCGTGCAACCTCCGAAGGTTTTTAGTTTTAGACCCCTCCTCTTCCTCCTCCTCTTGCTCCTCCTCCTCCTCGACGGGGGCCTGGGACCGGCCCGCCAGTGGCGCACCGAGGGCTCGATCGGGCGATGCCGCGGGGAACAAGAAACATCAGTTTCCTCTATCGGTGAAACACCAATCCGTGAGCAAGGCCGCGGGAAAAAATAGTTGGTCACACTTATCGGGGGGGTTGAAGACCTTGAGAGGTCAGCCAAGATCATATTGATCCGATTCGATGCCGATGCGGGCAAGATTTGCATCCATAGCCACTGCGTCTTAGTCTTTCTTGGCAAGGGCGCCAACACGGCCGAGGCGCAGTGCATAGTGGTAAAGATCTATCATCTAGGGGCAAGATTTTCATCCATGCCCACTGCGCCTGTGGTTCCTGCGGAATGGGACATGGTCCTTCAAGACGCAGTGGATACGGATACAGATGTTGCACACATTTCGATCTGATCGATCCGATCCGATGCCGATCTCGGCTGGCCCGATCCATGGTATTGACGTGCATCCTGGCGGGACCGTTTCGATTCGATTCCTACTCTTTGCCCATTTTCTTTTGAGATTTGGGCACAGGCAATTTTATCAAGCTTGGGGCCCCGGGACCATCACAGATCGATGCGTCTCGAACATGGCGCAGAGAGGTAGGGTCTAGGGCGCCAGTCGTGATTTTCCCCACAATGTTTAATTTTTGTTCGCGACGCCGGACCTCAGGGGAGGGGGGTGTTGATCGGAGGGTGGAATGTCGGGTATATCCAGGACCCCAGATAAGGGGACCCGGTTGGGCTCCGTAAGTAAGTAAGTAGCAGCCGTGTGCGCACGCACATGAGCAAAAGAGGACAAATCAGCGCATTCGGCCGTACTGCCTCGCTGCACCTCTCCAGGTGTCTGCCGGAACGGCAGCAATATCTGACCAACGTATGTTAGCTTGTACACGTGCATTCTGAGCGTGTCTCAGCACTTCCCTCGACCACACCTGTCGTGGTCGGCCCCGCTTGCGCGGCCGTGCCGGGTCCAAAAGTTCCACAGATGAGGGTTTGAAAACAGCTTGGCGGAGAGGGTGCTGGTCACCCTCGCGCGCAATCCTGGCAAAGTAAATAAGTTGTCTTTCCAGCAGCGTACAACTGAGCCTTACACAGCGCGCCTGCTCTAGAACAGCTGCATTTGTCACACGGCTCACGTACGCGCGCGGCACTCTCAGGATCTTTCGCAGGCACCGCGCCTGGAACGCATCCAGCCTGGACAGCTCCGCGCTCTTCAGCCAGGCGGTGTGGAGGCTGTATAAGGCTGGAGCCCCTGAATTGGCAAGAATCACCAAACCAGGTTTGCCGTAGCTGGTGTTGCTTCGGGTGACTGCAGTTCTGGTTGGTGGAACAGGGCGGGGGGGGCGTCCCCAAGTACACATCATTCAACCAGGTCCCACTAAACCCAGTTCTGCCAACGCCCGAGAATGGCCGCGGGGATGACCAGGGCCCAGACGTGCTCGCGGCCTGATAAGCGTGAGGCGGGCGGTTTTGCCGTGGTCGGCCTCGCCTGCGGAGAGGCCCTCGCCGGGCTCCGCGGAGCCGTCAGAGAATGTCTCGGGAGGAGAAGCTGGCCACAGCGAAAGGTTGGGACTTCAAGGGGCCTCCTCCTCCTCCTCCTCCTCCTCCTCCTCCTGTCCTCCTCCTCCTCCTCCTCATCATCATCCTCATCCTCATCCTCCTCCTCCTTCCCCCTGCTCCTGCTTCTCCTCCTCCTCCTCCTCCTCCTCCTCCTCTCCTCCTCCTGCTCCTCCTGCTCCTCCTGCTCCTCCTGCTCCTCCTGCTCCTCCTCCTTCTACTCGTGTTGGGGGGGGGGGGGCGGTAGCAGAAATCATGGGAGCCTCGTGTGCCCTCGCAATTTTGTCTTTCTAGCGTCGAATTGCGTCACTTAGCGTTTGGCAGTCTCATGGGACTGCGCCGATGTAGCGTCGGCTAGCGCCGATTTAGCGTCGATTGGCGTCGATTTAGCGTCGTCTGGCGTCGATTCGCAGGAGCCGACAAGACGGTATGGGAGGCTCCCACGAGTTGCCACCGAGGGGGGGGGGGGGCGGCGGGGCCCCCGCGTCTCCTGCGCTGCGCTTCGGGGGACCTCGCCCGTCCCCAACATGGGTGTCTCTTCCTGTGCCCGACGCGGGTTCGCGGGCTCGACGCGGATGTGGCGTCGATTCGACTCGGATTCGGCACGGGTTCGACCCGGATGCGACGAGGTTGGCACGGATTCAACACGGATTCGACGCGGACAGGGCGTTGCGACGGGACAGACAAACGGTCCCCCGAGAATGCAGCGTAGCTTGCGCTCGATTGTGTGTGTTTGCGGGTTGTTGCCTCCTGAGCTGCCCTGCTACGCCCGTCTGTAAAGCTCGGAGGAGGAAAAGGTGCAGATGCCGGTACCAGTCGTCCGTTTTCCTTTTTCTGGGCCTCCCGGGAGGCTCTCGTCGCCATCGCTTTATTCGTTTCGAAATTCTGGTCAGAGCGCACCCTGGGAGAGGTCTGGGGAGTAGCGGTATCGGAAACGCAGCACGTGCTGTGTTCAAAGCGTCCGTGTCAGTACGTTGCGTGTTGGCTCAGCGTATTGTTGCCTGCGTTTTGGCGGACGTGTCGCGTCAGACCTAAATGTTAGGTCTACGTGCTGAGCTCCGTATCAGCACGCTACGTGTCTCGTGCTGCGTATCGCGGCAGCTTTAAGGTTGCATCATATCCAGCTGCACTGCCGCGCGTGTGCGTCACCTCGCGCTGTTCCGGTGGGGTGGCGACCTTGGCATGGGAGCAGGGTGGGGCGTGGCGGGAGCTGCGGCCACGAAGAATTCCCAGCGTGAAGCTTCACTGCATTCGGGACCAAATCCTGAGAGCTTTGAGTGCCCTCGTAACTGCGTCCTTAGAGCGCATCGGCATGCGATAGCGCCTGGCAATTGATCAGATCGCGCCGATTCAGCGTCGATTAGCTTCGATTTAGGGTCTATTGCGAAGGCCTGACGGCCGGTGCCGCCGACCCTGTTCGCAATGCGCAGCAAGAGATTACGAGGTTGCTCAAGGTCGGCTTGGCTGGAGCCCAGGGGAAGAGGAGTCCCAGGGGGGGGCGTCGTATCTGACCCGGGGGGGGGGTCGCTACCCCCCCCCCTCCCGGCGGGGGAGGGATCAAAGGGAAGGGGCTTCCCTTCGACTCAATTACGAGGTTGCTCAAGGTCGGCTTGGCTGGAGCCCAGGGGAAGAGGAGTCCCAGGGGGGGGCGTCGTATCTGACCCGGGGGGGGGTCGCTACCCCCCCCCCCCTCCCGGCGGGGGAGGGATCAAAGGGAAGGGGCTTCCCTTCGACTCAATTACGAGGTTGCTCAAGGTCGGCTTGGCTGGAGCCCAGGGGAAGAGGAGTCCCAGGGGGGGGCGTCGTATCTGACCCGGGGGGGGGGTCGACACCCCCCCCCCCTCCCGGCGGGGGAGGGATCAAAGGGAAGGGGCTTCCCTTCGACTCAATTACGAGGTTGCTCAAGGTCGGCTTGGCTGGAGCCCAGGGGAAGAGGAGTCCCAGGGGGGGGCGTCGTATCTGACCCGGGGGGGGGGTCGACACCCCCCCCCCCCTCCCGGCGGGGGAGGGATCAAAGGGAAGGGGCTTCCCTTCGACTCAATTACGAGGTTGCTCAAGGTCGGCTTGGCTGGAGCCCAGGGGAAGAGGAGTCCCAGGGGGGGGCGTCGTATCTGACCCGGGGGGGGGGTCGACACCCCCCCCCCCCTCCCGGGGGGGAGGGATCAAAGGGAAGGGGCTTCCCTTCGACTCAATCACGAGGTTGCTCAAGGTCGGCTTGGCTGGAGCCCAGGGGAAGAGGAGTCCCAGGGGGGCGTCGTATCTGACCCGGGGGGGGGGTCGACACCCCCCCCCCCTCCCGGCGGGGGAGGGATCAAAGGGAAGGGGCTTCCCTTCGACTCAATTACGAGGTTGCTCAAGGTCGGCTTGGCTGGAGCCCAGGGGAAGAGGAGTCCCAGGGGGGGGCGTCGTATCTGACCCGGGGGGGGGTCGCACCCCCCCCCCCTCCCGGCGGGGGAGGGATCAAAGGGAAGGGGCTTCCCTTCGACTCAATTACGAGGTTGCTCAAGGTCGGCTTGGCTGGAGCCCAGGGGTTGCTCAAGGTCGGCTTGGCTGGAGCCCAGGGGAAGAGGAGTCCCAGGGGGGGGCGTCGTATCTGACCCGGGGGGGGGGTCGCTACCCCCCCCCCCTCCCGGCGGGGGAGGGATCAAAGGGAAGGGGCTTCCCTTCGACTCAATTACGAGGTTGCTCAAGGTCGGCTTGGCTGGAGCCCAGGGGAAGAGGTCTCCCAGGGAAAGGGAAGGACAGAGACGACGAGTACAAAGAATGACGGAGATGACGGCTCGAACGGAAAAGCCCCTCACACACGCCGACAGGGTCGGCGGATTGGCGTCGATTTAGCGTCGACCAGTGTCGTTTAGCGTCGACTAGCGTCGATTCGCACGAGCCAGCAAGATGTCATCGGAGGCTCCCATGAGTTCCCACTGGAACTTCATTAGGAAGCTGAGTACACATGAGGCGTTCCAGAAATGGCCTTGCCTTCGAGGAACGAAGGGGTTGTCAGTTCCTCCGCGGCAGAAGGAGGCGGAATGGCGGTGGAAGGTCGGCAGAAGTAAAACGAGGCCGCCTCCGCCAACGGAAGCTCGGCGGAAGGTGGCGGAAGTAACACTGCCTCCCGAGAGATTCCGGGTTTCCGGAATCGCCCACAGGACGTGGCCGGCCAGGGCGAGCGCCGGATGCCAGTGCTGCCGCGGCATGCCTTCTTGCCGATCGCTCCTCGTAATTGCGCCGCCTCCCCCGCACTGCGTGTCCAGCGCGCGGCCTCCGCATTGGTTCCGCGCGTGGATCCGGCCGTGTGCGCTTCTCTTCCAGCTTCGCGGCCGCTTTGGTCTGTCCTGTTCTCCCCCCCCCATTGAACGCCGACCAAGTCGCGTATCGGTTGCCCCGAATCGCCGCTGGCGTAAAATGTTTCTCTTCCAGCTCCCTGGCAAGTTCGGCTAATCGATCGAGCGTGCGAAGGGATTCTGGGCCAGTGCAGAAAGGGGAGAGGGACAGGAGATTCCTGTCACCTCGCGGGATGCACGTCCGTAATGTCCGCCGCACGTAAACAGATTGGGCGTCGGGAGGTTTTTGCCCTGCTCGTCTGCCGCGCTGGTCTGTCATCTCGTTCTGCCTGTCCCGGGGCATTGCCAGCGCCAGGAGGGCGGATGCGCCCACCCCGTTTCACTCGAGAAGTGATGCCGATCTCTCACTCGAGAGGTGGTGGAGGAGGGGCACGCCGCAGGGCACCTCGGACGCGGGCTCCGCGAGCGGGTGCCCGTCGTACGTGACCAGGCGTTCATGGCGGTTCCCCTCGGGTCACGAAAAAATCACGACGGGGGGATCGCTATGTTCATCCTCTGAGGGGCATTACTGGGCCTCGGGGCCGTCAAACAACTATGCAGGATGAAAGCCAGTCCCGGGTAATGGGTCGAGATCTTTGGGGTCGACGTTGCGCTAACATTAGGACGTCGGGGGTCTGGGATCGCGGTCCCCCTCGGCGTCGTCGTCGTCGGCGTCGGTGTCGTCGTCGTCGTCGTCGTCGCCGTTGTCGTCGTCGTCCGCCAGGAGCCGCAGGAACGGCCAGGCTGCACACCGCCTCGCGCTCGCCCGCAGGTGGACGACGACGACGAGTACGGGTTCGAGTGGGACAAAGACTGGGAGCCGGTGCTGCGCCGCTGCGCCGCCCCTTCGACCCAGGAGGGAGGCGAAGGAGGATTCCGGACTGGCTTCCCTAGAGCCATTGCTCGCTCCCGCGGAGCTACTATCGCTGCCGCGCAACTACCTGCAACTCCCCCGTCCTCTCCTGTCCGGGTGCCTGAGTCAGCGGCCGTAGCTACGACACCCGGCACAAGTTGACGAGCTGGAGAGCGTTCACGCGCTGGAGAGCGTTGACTCGCTGGAGAGCGTTGCCCCCCCATCCCATTGGCTTCGGGGGGACTTCGCGTCCTGGAGAGGATACGGGGACGATCAGGAGACGATTGCACTGACAAGGCTGCAAATTTCACCGATCGGCACCTGGCACAGAACGACAGAACGACAGACCTACCCCCTGTGGCGCGCGGAGCGGTGTTTCCACCGAGGGATACTGGGAGTTCCATCAGGCCAGTCGTCTTTTCCGTTTTTGGACGGGATCTCCGAACGCTGAACTCTATCTACGCAAGGCTTCTTTGCCCGCTGGGGTGGGGTGGGGGAGGACGAGGAGGAGCACAAGGAGGAGACAGAAGAGGACGGAGCAGGGGACGAGCACGAGGAGGACGAGCGGGGAGGACGAGGGCACCTCCAGAGTCCTCTGGAGACCTCCGGGGACTGCAGAGATCTCCTCAGACGGATCCTGTGGAGACCTGCCCAGCGCAGCTGGGTCTGGTCTCGAGTGCTGCCTCCAAGGCGGCGTAGACTGCAGGAGGCTAGTCGTCGGCGTGCAGTTGCGAGGACCGAGCTCTTTTGCTCTCGGAGGAGGACAATGCACTGATACCGCTACCCTTGGCCTCGTTTCCGCCGTTTTGGGGCATCCTGGGAGGCCCTCGTCCTCACTGGCAGATTCGCCTCTCAAACTCTGGTCACAGAGCACCCCGAGAGAGATCCAGGGAGTAGCCGTACAGGTAACTACCCTCCAGCTTTCCCAGAGCTCATCCTGTTGTTTCGCCCGAATTCTTTTAACATGTTGTCCCACCCGATCCTCCTGATTCCACCTCGCCCTTCTTTCCCTCAGTTCGGCTCAGCTCGGCTGGGATGAAGTGAAAATGAGGAGGAGGAGGAGGAGGAGGAGGAGGAGGAGAAGGAACGAACTGGCTTTCGTGCTGGAGGTGGATAGTGAGTTGTTGCTTCTCTTTTTTCGAGGCGTGAGACTGGAGCAGCGACTTGGCCTCAGAAAGGAGCTCCAACGCATCGTGAAGGAAGAGGAGGAGGAGCAGGAGGAGGAGGAGGAGGGGAAAAAGGAGGACAATGATAAGGATGAGGATGAACACGGTGACATCGCTCGAGGGGGCGACATCGTTTGAAGGAGGTCAACTGGGACATACGTCCCCGCGCCGTTGGTTCCGACGCGCGGACTTCCGTCTTGGGGAGGGCGCCTCAGCCACCAGGGCGAACGCCGCCTCGGACGCGGTGGGTTCGCCGTGGGTTTGCCGCGGCGCCGGCATCGTCAACGTGGGCGCGGGGCGCAGACTTTGCCGTGGGTTTGCCGTGGCGTCTGCGGCGTCACCATGGGCGCGTCCAGAATACACGGCGCGGAGACAGATCCGGAACCAATTCAGAACACAACACGCAACGATTGGGAAGAGGAGGAGGAGGAAACGGTAGATGCGGAGGAGAAGCGCAGGACCCATAAGACGCGTTGCGTGTGGAGGAGGAGGAGGAGGAGGAGGAGGAGGAGGAGGAGGAGGAGGGGGAGGAGGAGGAGGGTGGCGGAGGAGGAGGAGGATTGATGTCCTGGAGGCTCTCGCCGTTCTAGGCGCCGATATTGTTATGATATCTAGGTACTCTTCTGGACTGCTGGACAGCCTACATCAGAGAACCGCTGACAATTACTGAGTGGTGCTCTGCTGTTTCACTGCTGCTCCCACCGCCGGAAGACGTGATCGACATTCGGAGTTATTACCTGTCTCTGTGCTCTCGCGGACGTCCATTGGCACTCGGCTCGACAAACCAGTGTTGCCTCTGTTGCGTCTCGTGCTATCTTGCTACTGTTGCACATATACGATACAAGTTCCTCGCGCACGAACCTCGCCGCGACCCCTCCCCCAAGAGAATCTCGGATCAAGCCACTCAAAGCAGTGCGCTGGAAAGCCAGCAGGCATGCCCTCGCCGATGCGAACGGATCCTGCACGTCTCGTTCTCACTCCACCCGGACTGGCCGCGCGTCGCCCACCTTCTTTAGACCGGGTAGAATTAGGTCAGGCTTGTCCCTCTACAGGAGGAATGTTCAAAACTAGTAAACAGATGGTCTGGGGACGAGTTTGTTCAGCATGTTTTGACTATTTGGGTGTATTCTTGGGGTACTTGCCATTTTTTGTCCAAAATCCCCCCTGTAGGGGGAAATGCCCGACCTAACGATAGCGTTGCTGGTTAGAAGCGGGATCCCTCGTCGTCAGCCGGGGCCTAGAGCCGCATGGTAAGGATGGGCATCCTTCCCGAGGGTACCCTTGTATCCTTGCCTCCTCGGTCCGTCCTTGGCTACTTTCGTTTGCCGCGCGCTCCGCTCGAAAAGCTTCGAAGTGGGTTCCAAGGCCCTTGCATCCTTATCGCGCATCCTTATGATACGGGCCGGCTGTACAGCTGGAACGAAGGTTCAGCACAGCCCCAGCTTTGGAGGGGTACCCCGATGTTCCCCGGTTTTTGGGGCTCTCCGCCTGGGAGCGGCCTTCGACTGGCGTATCTTCATGTGGCCTTGGTCTACCTCGGCGAAGGGGCTCCTGTTCTTGATAGGCGTTCTCGTGTCCGTGTTTCGCCTGTAACAAGTTCCGCAGCGCCCTTCTGATGGTGCCACACGCCCACGTTGGTTAGCAAATCATAGGAGCCCAGTGTACCCTCATAACTCCGTCTCTAGCGTCGATTTGCGTCTGGGAGTCGATGAGATAGCGCCGTGTTAGAATCGGCTAGCTTCGATTAGCGTCGATTTCATCGATTTAGCGTAGACTAGCGTCGGTTCAGCGTCGACCAGCGTCGGTTCGCAAGAGTCAACAAGATGGCATGGGCGGCTCCCATAAGTTGCCACAGAACCCACTCCCCGACCTGCGAGGGAGATTCACCGCAGGAGGTGCTGCAGTCTTCGGGACCTGGGTGGCCGCGACGTCGCGCTTGCTGGGTGGGGATGCCGGGGCCGGGTGGCCCTGGTCCCGAAGGGGGCGCTGGTGTCGGGCTGCGCAGGGATGCTCAGAAGAGGGCGAGTTGAGACAACGGTAGCTGGCCTTCGAGGGTGGGCCCTCGTCGCCACGTCTGGACGCGGCTCAGAAACTCATCATTTTCTACCCCCCGAGGGTCCAGGGACAGATTTTGAGCGAATCTGCCCTCCCCCCCCCGTTGAGCGATTTTCTCTGGGCCTTCCAGCTTAGACCCGCCTCCGAGCCCTGGTCCCGAAGGTGGCGCTGGTGTTTGGCTTCGCAGAGGCGCATTGCTGCAGCAAAGTCGGCGCCTGCGGCAGGCTCTTGTCCTGGTCTGTGTTGCAGAACTTCGTGCAGCAAGCCCTCGCTCCCGATAGTTGTGTCTTCATCTGTCCTGCGCTGCCGTCAGGGGCGCGCTCGGCCTGAAGTGAATGGAGCGCTGCAGTGGCAGACTCGGGGGAACGGATGGGGCTGGATCTGGAGGAGCCGACGGAGGTGCCAGAGCATCTCCGGCGCAACACACAGAGAGCGAGCGCCACCGACGGCAGAGGCCGTTGAATTGGCGGTGAGACGCACATCGGACGACCGAGTTGAGTAGGGATGATCCCAGACATGCGACGTCCTGATTTTTTCATGACGCGACCCCCAGAGGTCCAGACCCTTCCCCAGGGCCAGTTTTTCATAAGTTTTTGACGGTCCTGGGGCCCTGCGAAAGCCCCCGGCGGGGCCGAAATTGGGATTGTTCTACGACGCGATCATGTCTGGGATTTGTTTGGGCCGCCCGAGCCGCCAGGATGGAAGCCGCGCGCCCAGCTCGGGCTGCCAGCGCTGCTGCGGAAGCAGTGGGCAGGCTGCGACCCGAAGTGTGGCCTCCACAGACCGCGCCGCCCTGCCACTCAGAGGAGGAAAAGGTACCCAGACCTCTACCCTTTCCTCGGTTTCCCCTAAAATGCCTCCTGGGAGGCCCTCGTCGCCACCGCTGGATTCGCTTCGAAATCCTGGTCAGAACGCACCCCGGGAGAGGTCCGGGGAGTAGCGGTATCGGTACCTTTTGGTTTCCCCAGCCACGCTCGATCGCCCGGGGCCGGCGCTCACAGCATGCCGATTCTTGGACTGGGTCAGCCTTCAGGCTTTGGTTTTTCGGCGGGTGCCCAGCTGCACTCGGAGCAGAGAGAGCATGGTCTCGTTCGGTAGCAAATAATGGGAGCCTGGTATACCCTCTTAGTTCTGTACTCAGCGTCGATCAAGGTCTGCAGTGGATGAGATGCGCCGAATTAGCGTCGGCTAGCGTCGATTAGGGTCGATTTAGCGTCGACCAGCGTCGACTTAGCAACGACTAGCGTCGATTCGAAAGAGCCGACACGATGGTACGGGAGGCTCCCATGAGTTGCCACCGAGCTCTCAGAACAGAGAGATGCGCTCCCCCCTGGGCCCCTCTCCTAGGGCCGAAGTCACGGCTTCTGCATGAAGCATGAAGCGGGCACCGATGTTCTCCGGCCTCTGTCTCCAGGAGCACTCGATTGTCGAGGGGGCGAGCGATGAGGGAGGGGGGGGATAGTTCACTGCCCAATAAAGGGGCAAAAGATCCACGAAGGCCTTGATGGTTGACTCCTGTCGTCGTCGTCGTCGTCGTCGTCGTGGCGGCTGGGGCGGTCAGGAAGGGACAGGGGCTTAGCTGTCCTGCTACAATCGTCTTGGAACGCAACACGTACTGTGTTGGCACGCTGCGTGTTGGTTCACCGTGTCGGCCCAGGTGTCGGCGAGCGCATCGCGCCAGCCAACACGTCAGGGTTTGCGTGTTGCGTATCGGGGCAGTTGAGGACAGGGGTGGCGAGAAGTGTGTCGGCCGAACAGATGTGGGGCAGCCCGTAAGGTCAGGCCCGTTCAGACATATGGCCCGTTCAGACATATCGTGGGTTGAAGATTGCCGCGGCCACTTGATGATCGCGGCGGCCAGTTGATGGTGCATGTGAGCTGGTGCAAGTGCACCTGGAGGTGCCCATCTGAGCGACCCCATGTTGCATGTGCGTATTTTGTTCCACGCTCTTCCTTGCAAACATGCTGGCACTTCCTCGCCATGCGTTCTTCCTCTGAATCGGACTGTGTCGATAATATGCTGACACCGTGTCCGCCAGAGGTCCACGCGTTCTCGAATGGGGTTGGCACAATTCACGGCTGGGTAGATAATACATAATACTTACACGACCACCTTTCGTGTGAGAAGAAGGTGTGGGGAGGGGAATCCTCAATTGCTGGCAAGTGCGATGGGTGTGATGATGGCGATGCTGGTGGCGCCCCCTCGAGTTGGCGACGACGCGTGATGACGATGTTGCGCCGCGATCTGATGCCACCATCGACCCCGCTAGTATCGATCTCAGTCGATCGATCTCACTATCGAACTCACGGCCAGTCTTAGTATCGATGGATCCAGCGATCGATCCCATTAGCGATCTCACCCTGAGTGGCGCTAATCGGGGCGCCATCGGGGCACCATCGAGCCAAATGAGTGCCACTGCCACTGCGCTGTGATGGATGCTTGCTGACTGCTTGGGTTGAATTTTGATGGCGATGTAACGGTTTTTCTGCACTCGCGCCATCGTCTCCAGGTGAACTGCGCGCCAGTAGCCCGAGCCCGTCGGACTCTGTGACCGAGTCGTTGCCAACACGGCTCATATCCCGACCGAGCCTGGCATAGCTTGGGCCCCAGAGCCTGGGAGAGCGTGGGCCTAATCAATCGTTTCCGTCGCTCTGGCGCGCTCGCTGCTGCTGGAGCGCGCACTGTTTGCGCTTACATATCTTGCGCGGCCTGCCTGCATGCTACACACCAAAGCGCCCGCACCAAGGGCAGACCCACACCGAAGACTGATGTTCACCACGTGCACGGCGGTCTGGGGCACGCACTTCTCCCCTCTGCCACGGCGGCGGTGGCGCCTCCATGCCGCGCGTTCCTTGCGCAGGCTTTCCGGCTTCGTTCCCGACAGCTCGCCTGGCAGAGCCTGGCCTAAGCCATCGGCGGGCCACCAGAACCCGAGTTCGCGAAGCTGCCCAGCAACATGTGCGCTGACTTCGTGCCTGCGCACGTGCACGTACGCCGTCAGTGTAAAGCGCGGCCACCCTCGTAAAGCACAAGCTCCGTGCGGCCACCTAGCGTTGAACAACACGAGTTTACCTTTGACCGCGTGCGTTTTGATTCGCTCGGCAGCGAAGTCGTACACCCACTGGCGGCCACCAGCAAAGCGCACCACCGCGATCATCGCAGTCTGGCTTACGGTCGGGTCTTCCTGCACACCCGACTCCGAGGAGTACGCGACCGCCAGGCTGCAGAACGGCAGCTGCGGTACATGATGGCGAACGAATGCTGCCAGGAGCTTCGTGAGGACAGGCCAGGCCACTGAGCCCCTCGAAAGGCACGGGCTCCTGGACCCGTGAATCGCCATCCCCGCCTGGAGACGCGGCCTTGGCCGCCAGAGACGCGCTGGCAGCGCCGCATGGCCACGCCAATTCTAGCAGCAGGCGTTCGAGCCGACTCGGCTCCGTACGACCCCTCCGTGCCAAGTCGGACCCGTCCATGTCCATGAAGCCTTGCGTGGGCGGTCGCTGGCGGGGCCCGGCGCCCTGCTGGTCGCTGGCAGAGCACGGCACCCCGCCGCCGCTGGACGAGTGCTGCAGCGACACGGGCAGCCCTCCGAAAGGACAGACCGGGTGGATGCGCACAGACAAGCCGAAATGGTATCGGCGGGCTCCGAAAGCTCAACATCACCCATCGGACAGCCCGAACAATGGAGGCCCAAGCACGACTGGGACACAACAGAGACGCCAGCCTGACACCATCGAGCCACCACCAGGTCACCATGGGGCCAATTAAATGCCACCACTACTGTGCTGCGATGGGTGGTGCTGCGAGTGATAGTCTGCTGCCGATGTCAAAAAATGAAAGCCGCGGTGGTGATGAGTGCGGTGATGAAAGCGACGGCGGTGGTGTTGAGCACGGTCGGAACACCATCTGGACTCCACCAGGCCACGTGGTTGCCACGTTAGCTGCGTTCGGCTGCACATGCAGACGTTCGTGCAGTAGGTCGTGAAAGGATGGTGCCAGGCAAACTGATGCCTCAAAATGGCTCCAAGGCTGATGCCTCAAGATGCCAATTTCTCGCCTTTTCGCTCGTGCATCCTGGCTCGTAAAAGTCGCGGCTGCGTTCGGCTGGCTAATTATGTAATTTGCTGTTTCTTGCGCCGGCCCCACCGCCTCTAAGAGAGAGCTCCGCGCCCGTCTGGCCCGAGCCGAGGGCGGCACCAAAAAGGCAGTGGCGCAGCCTGCTGCCGCGGGCGCCTGCGCTCCGCTGCGAGCCACGAGAGCCTGCGGACCGGCCAGCTCCGGAGGCCAGCCAACGCTCACAGGTATGGCCTCTTGCCTGCACTGGCAGAGCCTGGCGCGTCCAGCCATCGGCGTCACCCCAACGTGCTGACTGTACTAGATGTGCGTCGCTCCCCCAGGGGCGACGCGCGCACCGAGAAATCTTATAGTGTATGCGTCGTGGCCCGCGCTTTTTGCCACCGCTCGGGAAATGATACACTACAAGATGGGTATGTCATATGTTCGGGTCGGACGCGCGCCTCCAAGGAGGACGTATAATGCTAGTATGTTTTTGTGCGTCCCAAGCCAGTGGCCCTTTGCCAGGCGCACATGGTGTCGGCATAGTGGTCCGCCTGCACTGGCAGACGCTCGTAGTGGACATCATTGTTGCCCATGTGGATTGCGTGGTCCGCGCCTCTCGGGCCCATACGATGACACAGCCCGCAAGCCAAGCGCCTCCGAGCGAGTGCATGAGATGATCGCACTGCCAATGCCGAACTCCATGGCGACGCACAATCTGACCAGCTCGTCAGCGTATTCTTTGGTTGCCAACTTCTGGACCCAGGCAGCGTACATCTCCTCGGTGCGCGTGGGGCCGCGGACGTCCAAGCTGGCAAAAGCCATATATATTCTGGCTTTCCTGTCGCCCCTGAGTAGCACCGCGGAATCGGTACCACCAAATTTTATCCTGAAAGCCTCCGCCACCAGGCCAAGTGGAGCCTGGCGCGCGCCGGCATCCATCGATTTCTGCATGCCTTGAGCCATGAGTTCGCTGATGGAGGTCCGCACCGCGCAGGGGCCAGGCAGAGCCCGGGGCAGAACGTGCGGCGCGCACTCGGCCAGACCAGCTGCCAGGCACAACTAGATGCATGCATTGGTGGTGCTCCCCGCAGCCTGCCCCAGGTCCAGGACGCTGCAAATACAGCCATCACTTCTTGCCCACCGAACGCCTCGATGTCCGCGCTCACGATGTTCTTGCGAGCATGCCGGCGGAACCGCTCACTGTTGCGGCTGGTACCAAGCCCGTTGAGCAGCAGTAAGAGTGCCTGGCCAAAGTGCAAGGATATCTGCTCAAGCGCGCGTGTGATATCCATGCGCTTGAAGCCCATGCCGATTTCATGATCGATCTTACAATCGATCTCACATCGATCTCACGTGTCCGATTTCACTTGTCCGACCTCACTATCGATTACACACACGATTCCTGAAACGACCGCAGGACACCGTTGGACACCACGGGACACCGCGGGACAACATGGGACACCGCGGGACACCGCGGGACACCACGGGACACCACCAGACACCGTCGGAACACCACGGCGAGACACCGCAGGACACCATCGGGACACCACGAGACACCACGGTGGGACACCCCAAGCCACGCGCGCCCACCGGAGGGCCGGACTTGTGCATCCGAGTCGCCTTAGCGACGGCGGGATCATTCTTCTCGCGCGCCCACGGCGAGACACCGGGATACCGCGAGACACCACGGTGGGACACTCTCAGCGACGCGCGCCCACCGGAGGGCCGGACTTTTGCATCCGAAGCGCCTTAGCGACGGTGGGATCATTCCTCCCATGTGCCCCCACAGCTTCTCCTCGCCGCACGCAGGACACGAAGACGACATCCAAACCGATTCCCTGGTGGGGGGGTCTCCCTTCCACTGCGATTTCACCCCCCAACCGCCGATCATGCAGCTCGACCTCGATTGCACAGAACGCGATGCCCTTGCGCGGACGATGGCTCGCGAACGTGCGAGGGGTGTAAGGTGACGTCTTCAAAGACGCCAGCTTCGAGGACATCGCCGTCTGGAAGGAGAGCCGATCGGCGTGACGAACAGAGGTCATGATGCAAGGGGGCCCTGGGTTATGTTACAGTCGGACCGATGCATAAGATCGAGGTCGGCTCGGGGAGGGTACCCTAATGTTCGTCGTGCTTGTTCGATGTTCTCGTGCATCCTGGGGGGAGGCACCCCCCTCGAATGTTCTGCAGTTTGGGCCGGCGAAGGGTCTCAGGGTCTTACAGGATGTAATGCTGTCCCAGGTCCGACGGCAGTTCGTCGGCTCCGGGGTCAGCCGAGTGAGGACTCAGGACGAGGAATCGGTCCCCGGGCAGAGCGCGGGAGTCCAGGGCCTGTTGTTCCCCCAGGAGCCCCGTCACGCCAGACCGCTGATCGTAGGGGGTGGTTTTTGAAATTCGGTCGGCAGTCGCTCCCAGAGTTCCGCGGCCAAGATGATGTGCCACTGTTGCGTTGCATCTTCTGGGGACCTCGCCTGTCCCCAAAATTGGTGTCTCTTCTTGTGCCCGACGCGGGCTCGGTGCGGACTCGACGCGGATTTGGCGTGGATGCGACGTGGATTCGACATGGATTCGACACGGATCCGACGAGGCCGACATGGATTCGACACGGATTCGATGCGGATAGGGCTGCGACGGGACAGGCAAGGTTCTCTGAGGATGCAGCCTAACCAGTGGCAAGTCTGAAGCCAGCGAGGGTGAGAGGTGGCGGCTGCATCATGGCGAAAATTGTGCTTCGCATCGCCATATGTCCACCCCCTCCCTGCTTTTGTTCGGTGACGCTTCCTCGCCCGCCTGGCGCAGCGTGGAGAGCTGTGTGGGGAGACCAGCCGCGTGGGATAGGCACCACCTGCGCCCAGAGGGCTGGTGGGATTTCGGCCTCCAAGGGTCTTGCATCATTACCACCCGTTCTCAATATACGTTTTGACTGTGTACACCGCCGCTCTCCCTGAAGGTACGTTCAACATTCGTCGGAGGGCGTCTGCGAGTTTATTTTCGTGACGCATCCACAACAGCCACGGCGGCGCAGAGCATCGGGTCATCGAGAATCAGAGACCCCAACCTAACACAGCGAAGACGTGGCCTCACTGAGGTCCCCGTTTTTGAACTAGGGATAGATACTAGATCTTGGCGGTCTGGCTCGATGCATCTGCAGAAAAGACTCCCTCTATCTCTGGTGCTTTCGGCCATCCTGACTTAGGTCCTCTCCCAAAGGGTTCAGGGTCCTTTTCCCAGACGTGCGACGTCTTGATTTTTTCAGTACGGCGTCCCCGGAAGTCCAGACCCTTTCCCCGGGGCCGGCTTTTCATCCTGAGTCGTTTTTTTGACGGTCCTGGGGCCCGGCGAGGGCCCCCCGAGGCCGAAAATTGCCGAAAACCTCGCGCCCTGTTTTTTTTTGCGCGATCGTGCCTGGGTTTGGGTGAATCAGTTGGGGCTGGGCACCACCGCCGCGGAGAGGAGCCCGGCCCGCAGCTGGCCGCCGCCGCGGAGCCCGCGCAGCCCGCGGCCGAGTCGGCGGAGCAGCCCGCGGCGGCGGTGCGCGAGCGCAGCTACCCGACGCTGCTGGGCCACACGCGGAGCGCGGAGCCGGCGAAGCCAGCGAGGCGCCCGTCGGCAGTGTCGTCTGACCTGCCGCGGGTGGCGAAAGAATCGCTCCGGGGCAGGGATGCAGGGGGGGGGGGGATGTGCATATGGGGGGGAGGCATCGACCCCGAATCGCCCACGGATCGCCGATAGGGGCCCGATGTCCCCGACCTGCCCAGGAAGTGGAGGAGTCACTGTCGGGGGCCTATCGCTGATGTATCGGCGATGTCTTGCCGATTCCAGTCGATGCATCCCCCCCATGCCAGTCCCCCCCTGTCGTTGCCCCTCAAGCGCCCGTCTCAAGTCTAAATAACAGTGCGTCCACGCGCGCCCCCCCCTCGCCCCATCTTTCAGGGTTTTCGGGCAAGCAGCAGCACCCCGCAGAAGTGGGCGTTTCTTTCGCAACCCTTCGCCTTCTCCCTTCCGGCGCGCGGTCGTCGGCTAACTTTGAGATACAGAGTTCGGGGTGAGTCTTCGCGGCTTTTTTATTGGCGGGCGTTTATCTCGCAAACGGCAGTATCCCTCAGAGAAGGGACATGTACCGATACCGCCACCCTTCGCTCGTGTTTCCCTTCTTGGGCTTCCTGGGAGACCCTCGTCGCCTCCGCCGGATGCGCCTCGGCGTTCTGGTCAGAGTGCGCCCTTGGAGAGGTCCGGGGAGTAGCGGTATGGGTGCCTTTTGATTTTCCCAGTACATCGTCGAACTTTTCCCCATCCCCACTGGAATTGCGCAGGGAAACGGGGTCGAGTTCACCGCGACACTACCCGCGCAAGGTCGCACGTATAGGCGCCATCGTTTCTGTGATGCGGCGTGCTTCGCCGGCGGTCCGCGTAAGCCGCCTCTTAGGGTCGCTACGTTATCTTGCGTAAGACCCTTCCCTTCTCGTCGCTCACTGGACCATGGTATCTCAGCCTCACCAGCTCGCGTAGTGCCCTTCGCCCCGGCGACGGCGGCGGCGACGACCTTCGTTTGATGGAAAGTCAGGGAATGTTCCGCTCGTCTTGCATGAACATGTATCGGCGAATCGCGCGCACCGCGCCCAACAGCGCCGAGTAGCGCTCAGTGGCGCCATGCGAGGAAGATGCATTGTGGCATTCGTCAGTATCGCCTAACCTATCCCCGTCCCTGGTATCTCAGCCCTACCAGTCCACCCCCCAAGGTGACGATAGGCCCCGAGAAACCCGAAGGGATCAGCATATATCCTGGCGAGGCGCCCTTCGCCCCCGCGACGGCGGTGGCGGCGGCAGAAGCTCCCGCCATTCTACTACATGTAATGTAGATCGGCGAATGGCGTCGAACAGCGCCAAATCGTGCGGGCACCGCGCCCATCAGCGGCGAATAGCTCCCAGATAGCGCCCGATCGCGCCATGCGAGGGGGGTGGGTTGCGTCCGCTTTGCTCGCTACAGGGCGCTCTTCGACGCGCTATTGGGCCAGAGGGACCAAGGCCATGCCGCCATGCCCGTGCGGATGGGGCTCGGTTGAACATGGCTGCAGCGACGATCTTCGCAGGGGCGGCGCCGGCGGGAGCGACGGCGGCGGGTGCGGCGGCGGCGGCGGTGACGCCAGCGGAATCGGCGGCGGCGGGGCCCTTTCTGGAGGCGTTCTCGTAGTCACGGCTGGATCTGCCTCGAGGTTCTGGCGAGAGGACGTTTTTTGAGGAAGTGGGCCCAAGCATCCGACGCGGCAGGAGCGGCAGCGGCGACGGCGAGGATGTTGACGACGAATTGGTCGCGTAGCAGGTCGCGGGCGGGTCGCGTGCAGGTCGCGGGTGGGTCGCGGGAGGCAGTCGGTTAGTGGCGGGCCACTCAACATGTATACCTCCAAACCCTCGATGCCCGCACTCTTCGTCTTCGGCCGTACCCTCTTTGAGGTACATCTTCTGTGCATGCCACGCACCGCGGAGCCCCAAATCAGCCACGCACACAGGGGCAGTGTAGAACCGCTCGGCCCACTTGCTCAGACAAAGGTCCCCATTAATGCAACTGTAGCCTCATGCATTGTTCTTATACCCGTGCTTCCTTTGCAATGTTGCGCCATCCTGGCGAAGTGCGCCCTCCAGTGAGACTGTGATTGTCTCCGATCCGAAAGTATTGCCTGACAGTTTCCACGTCTGGCGCGACTTGGAGAATTTGACACGCACGCTATTCGTCCAGCGTGTAGAGTGCACGTCGTAGGGGGCGCACTCTATACGCGGCTGTTCAGCGTTAAGAGTGCATTTCCCCTCGCCAACGTAGAATCGTTTAGCGTGCACGTCCGCTTGCAACACAAACGTATAGCGTGCGCGCACGTTTTTTTTTTTGTTTTTAAATATATATATATATATATATATATATATATATAGATATATGTATAGATGGCATCGGAAGGGAGGTTTCGTATAGCGTGCATGGACGGTGAGTGACACTTTGTCACTCGATGGGAGCCGTGCGCGCTACACGTGGCCCTGACGACAATGAATGACAGGCCTGTTTGGAAAATCGGGCCGACCCCAGCTGGAGTGGGCTAAGCAGCTGCACGCTCTTCGAGCACGTGGGGCTGACGGGGCGTTTTTGCCATCGCCTGAGCGCATAAAGCGCCGACGCGCCTTCGGGTTAAGTCGGGCCTGTCCCTCCACAGGAGGACTACCCAAACATTGTCAAGGAATAGTCTAGGGACGATGTTTCTATTATTTTTGACTATTTTGAATCGTTTTTGCTATTTTTGAATTTTCACCCCAAATCCGCCTGTAGGAGGACACGTCCGACTTAACCTTAGGGCATATTGTAAATCTGTAAATCTAACCTATCTTCTATAATCTTGAACCCTTAGGGCCCCTCTTGACCCTCCTTGGACTCCCTCCCGAGACCCCGCTTCCGCCCTGGGGCTGCCTGGCATCCACCCCTGGCCCGGGAAAGAGTAGCAGACCAGGACCAGGAAGGGCCGCGTCCGTGGATGGATTGGCTCACGGGCACCTTCCACGGGCTGCCTCTCACGGGCTCTCGGGGCCTCCCAGAAGCCGCTTTGGCGTTGCCGTCTAGGCCCGCGGCGGTCAGTCTTGCAGGAATCTTGAAAGCGGTCTTGAGTCATTGTCGACCTCGAAGCTCTCTGGGGGCCGTCCATGCCCACGCAGGGACCCGCTGGGGCAAGGGGTAGGGGGGCGGAAGGAGGAGTATGAGGAGGGTATGGGCAGAAATCTTGCCCACCTGGGTTCCATTCTTGCTGGCCGCTCGGAGATGCGCAGCAGGATCGGAGGTCGTCTTCCTCCTCCTCCTCCTCCTCCTCCTGTTCCCCCTCATCCTCATCCTCCCTCATCCTCCTCCTATTCCCCTTCCTCCTCCTCCTCCTCCTCCTCCTCCTCCTCCTCCTCCTCCTTCTCCTCCTCCTCCTTCCTCCCTCCTCCTCGTGCCTCCTCCTCCTCCTCTTCCTCATCCTCCTCGTATTCCTCCTCCTCCTTCTCGTGCCTCCTCCTCCTCCTATTTCTCATCCTCGTCCTACTCCACCTCCTCCTCCTCCTTCTCCTCCTCCTCCTCATCCTCCTCCTATCCCCCCTCATCCTTCCTCCTCCTCCTCCTCCTCCTCCTCCTCCTCCTCCTCCTCCTCCCTCCTGGTTCTCCGCCTCGCAGCTGGACCATGCGGAGCCGCCCAAGCTTCGTTCTTGCATTTCGCGCGGATTTGTTTTCTAATTCTGCGGATCTCATTGTGCCGTCTCTTCCGTCGTTCCAGTTTCCAGCGCGTGGGCGGAGCTCGTGGAAGCTAGAATCTGGATTCGCGGGACTTCGGGACCGAGCCACCTGAGCCCTCTTCGGCTTTCCTCTGAAGCCTCCTCGGTGCACTGCTTGCGGCACTGTCCGGCCTTCGCTTCGGGGCCCTTTTCGGACCTTTTTCTGTCTTTCTGGGGGCACTTCACTTCCCGGGGCTCTCTTGATACCTTTGTGGGGCCATCTTCCACTCATCTTGGGACGCCTGTTGGACGGTCAAGTTTCGTAGGGGGTGCAACTCGCCACCTACATGGCCACCAGCCAGTGCGCTCAGGCTCCAGGACAGCGTGACGTTGTACGTCAATTCTTCGTGACTCGTATCTTCCCCCTGCCGGCGACTCCCACCGTCGCCACGGCTGAACGCGGCTGGCAGATCGTCAGGATGTGACCCAGGAGGTATCCGAAGGGCTAGTGCCGAGTGGAATCTGACCGAATATAGACATTCACGTAGTGTTTGAATGCCGTGGGCAAGTAGGGCGTTTTGGGGCGTTGTTGCCGCTTCGCTCGTGTGTTAACTGCTGGATCGCCACGGGGCGACCTCAGACGAGAGGCTTGGCCAATAGCGTTTCCAGCGAGCGAGGCGCGCGATCGATCCCTCGAGACTAGCACAGTCTTGCTGCTCGCCCCCCATGCTAGCGGCGGCCACATGGTTACGAGGGTATTGCGGGGAGGGAGGCGAAGTTGGAGGAGCAGGAGCAGGAGGAGGAGCGGAAACAGTAGAGGTAGGAGGCGGAGGAAGGGACCGAGCAGGAGAAAGAGAGGGGGGGGGAGACGGGAGTGACCATGTGCGCTGTGGAAGCGCTGGGGTCCAAGCCGGGGCACGCCGGCCGTGGTAAGAGTCGGAGGGAGCAGTTGGCGATGGCAAGCAGGGAGGAGGACGTCGCAGCAGAGTGACGCGGCTGCGAGCGAGTTGTGAGCGAAGGAGGCTGTTGGCGATGACAGGCAGGGGTGAGGGCTGACGCAGCAGAGAGTTGCGACCGCCGTGGCTCGACGGCAACCCGTGGAGGGCCCTCAGCAAGCTCCCGAACGACGTCGGGATTCAGGCTCCGAGCTCTCCTTTGCGCTCTCCGCCCCAAACGTAGCTTGCATGTTTCGCCTGACGATTCGTTGCGCGTGCTATCTCTGGGTGGCATACCATCGACTGATATTGGCGCCTGCGATTGGTGACGTGTATGCCACGGGGACGTGCACTGTCTGATCGGGATCATCGCCGTCCTCACCAATATCCTCAGACCGGGGGGGCAAGCAGATGTGTTTTTCTCGGCAGCTAGTTTGACCATAGTGATCTCAGTGACGCTGCGACGGAACGCATTATCATTCTACCCCACCGCCTGGCTATGGTGTGGTCTGTGCACATAACGATGGTGCTGATGCCGTGGTGGTAAGAAACATGGTGTCGGGTACGAGTACGGTGCAGGACTTGATTGTGGTGATTGTGAGATGGTGGCTTCCAGTGATACCGATGCTGATGCTGTCTGTGATCTGAGCTCTGTTCTCTCCGGCCCCTTCTCCAGGGAGGAAAAGCCTCCCGGACCCGCTGGTTGGCGTTTACTCAACGGCCCTGGGCGTTTACTAAACAGCCCTGTCCTGTTCGATCCCCTCTGTGGGCGCGTTCACTGAACGGTTTCGTGCCGGGGTGATTTTTCTGCCCTCTGCCTTCTCGCCCGCCCGCCCGCCCCGCCGGCCACGGCCTCCCGCCTGCGGGCTCGCCGCCGTCTGCCCGCGCTGGGCAGAGCACCGCCTCTGCCCGGGCCCAAGCGCGGCGGCGCGCAGGGCTCCGCCCTGCAGAGCCAGGGAACCAGGGATAGGAGGCCGAGGAGGAGGAGGAGGAGGAGGAGGAGGAGGAGAAGGAGGAGGAGGAGGAGGAGGAGGAGGGGAGGAGATGGAGGAGGAGCAGGAGGAGGAGAAGGAGGAGGAGGAGGAGGAGGAGGGGGGAGGAGGAGGAATGACGGCGGCATCGCCCGCAGACTTGGTGTTGACGTTCGACTCCACCAACGCGTTCAATACTATGCCGCGCTAGAGAATCCTTGCGGGAGTCGCGGCGCGGATGCCCGACCTGTACCAGGCGGCGGCCGTGTGGTTGGGCACGGGAACCACGCACTTCTGGTGGGGGGCCGGCGGAAAGGCCAAAGCGGTGAGAGCCAGGAAGGGGGTCGACCAGGGCTGCCCGCTCTCGCCCGCCTGCTTTGCCTTGGGGCTGGCGGAGGCGTTGTCCAACATCGACGCTCGCCTGCGTGCCGCGGCGCCGACTGCCGGGTCTTCTCCTACTTGGACGACGTGGTCGCGGTGGTGCCCGCGGCGCTCGGGAAGGCAGCGGCGCAGACAGTGGTCGAGGAGTTGACGCGAGCAGGATTTACCACCAACGAGGGTAAAACAGCGGCGTTGACCCGAGACCCAGCGACGCCACCTTCGCCTCTTCTCGAAATTTTGCGGACACCAGCTCTCCGTTGCCTGGGGGCCACCGCGCCCTGGGTGGAACCGGAAGACCCGCTGGCGAGGCTCGCAGTCCACGGGCAGGCTGACGGCGACGAGGCCGCACGGGCTGCAGAGCGATTGGTCACCCGACTCCAGGAATTGCAGGGCGCCTGACGATCGGGGCGAGAGAGAGAGAGAGAGAGAGAGCTTCTGGCTGCTCCAAACCTACAGCAACGGCTGCGTCACGCACCTGCTGCGCGCAAGCTACGAGGACGGGGATTGGCTCACCAGGCTCGACAGGACACCCACACAGTTTGTGGAGGACTTCCTGGGCGACGCCCTCGACGACGACTTGCGGGCGCAATGCTTCCTCCGGTTGACCGACAGGGGCTTCGGGCTTGCCTCGGCCGCGCAGGCGGCGGCCGCCGCCTACCTGGGCAGCTGGGCGCTAACCCTCCATAGCGTGGGCGCCTGCCTGGATGAGCCCTCCTGGGCGCGGTTCAAGGAGCGCTGCCCTTTGGTGGCCGAGGCCATAGCGAGGGCAGAGACACGGCTACAGGCGCAGAGCGGGGGATCTCTCCAGGCTGTCGACTGGACCAGCTGCGTGGGCGAGCCATCGGCGGGGATGCAGGGGAAGTGGGCGGGCGACCTCCGCACCGAGGAACGCGAGCGGTTGCTGGCCTCCCTGGCAGCAAACGACAGGGTTGACTTCCGCTCGTCTGGCGGCCCTGGCGCAGGTGAGTACTTGGAGCCGCCCGTCGTCCGAGAGGGAGAGACGCCTCCTAAAATGCCGGACGAGCACTTCCGCGTTGCCCTCAAGTACATGCTGCGCCTGCCGGTGTGCCCGCCAGGCGCAACCTGCAAGCTCCGCAAAGCCGACGGGGCGCTGCGTGGGGAGGCACTTGACAGACGCCGGCGCCGCGCCCCGAAGTGTCCGCGTGGCCCCTGCCGCAACGACAAACACAACGGCCTCCGGGACTTCTGCGCAGGCTACCACCAGCGGACCACAGGACACGCAGCGCAGACGGAGCAACGGGATGTTGCTTGGGACAGGGTGAACCCGCGGACATGGCGCCTCGAAGAAGCGCGGCTCGACGTCGCCACCCGCGACGCAGTGACCGGCCAGACGGTGTTCTTGGACACGAGCGTGACCTGCGCACACAGCGGCGCCGCGCCGCGCCAGCAGGCCCGCTCCAACAGGGACGGCCTTGCCGCCACTGACGCCGAGGGCGCCAAGCGGGAGCGCTACCCGCCCGAAGGGGGCCAGCTCATCCCCGTGGTCTTCGAGAGCGCGCCGCCCGCATGTTTTTCAAACCTTGCAAGCAATTCGCAGATTTCCGTCATCAGCGTGCCAAAAATAGCGTTTTGGAAGGTTTCAGGATTACGCGGGCGCTATGCGTTGATTCTCTCTGTTGACGTCCCAGGATAGGCGCTTTGGCGCGGGACAGGATCGGCAAGACGCAACAGTCAGGTTGATCCGTGGTGTTGGAATCACGAGAACAATGTTTTGGCATGCTTCAGAGTCTCCTTCGTCAGCTGCCTGGAGACGCTGTTCGCGCCGCCGCCGCAGCCGCATCGGAGTGCCACCCAGCCTGCCTGCCGCGCCAGGGCGGCAGGCGCTGCCTCGGCGCAGATGCATCAGCGCGGCCCCGGCACTGCCGCGGCGTCGGCGAAATCAGCGCCGTCTGGCGGCAACGGCGCCGCCGAGAGGCCGAGCGCCCATGCTGCTGAAGCCGGCGGCAGCGATGGCCCGGGCGGCGCGGTGGCCGAGGACGGCGTCGGGAGGAGCGCCCGTCGTCGCACCGCGACGCGAGCTATCGTGGAGTCGGCCGAGAAGGTCATCAACAAGGTGGAGACGTCTTGGAACTTTCAGAACCACCTGGGAGCTGCGCCCCCGCCGGCGAGAATCCGACTCCGAAGACGGCCGATTGCAACTGCGGGGCCGCAAATTTGACGCCGCGTTGAATTTCTCCAGGGCCACGGAGTTGAGCGCTATATGCTTTGAGCTTCCTGGGGAGATCCAAGTGCGACATCGCATGTTCGAGAAGTTCCGCGCCAACCTCGTCGGCGCGATCGCGCAGGGCGCCTCCTAGATGGAGCAGAAGGCCCTCGGCGCCGCGCCTGAGGACCTCGGCAGCATCATCGCGCCCGAAGCCACGAGACTCACGGAGAGGTGCCACGATGAGAACGTCGTGGACGCCTTGGCCGAGGTGCTCCGGGTCAAGCGCGATAGCTGCGGAATCAACGCGGGCATCATCTCAAGCGTTGACGTCGGGGAGATGGCCCAGACGGCGCAGACGAACACCTTCCTCGCGGTCTGCGATCGCGCGCGCAGGTTCGTAGAGAGCAGCCACATCATCAAGATCAGCAAGGCCTTCTTCAGTCACATCAAGGACTAGGGCGCGCCCGTCGACGTGTCGACAGTGGGCCTTGAATGCTGTTGGCCGGCGCTTAGTGCCGAGGAGTCGTGGCGCCCGCAGCCTCTCGCGAACCTCGCGCGCGCGCCTACCTCGCGGCGAAGGGCTTGGAGGTCTCGGCCTCGAAAGGCGTAGTCGCGCTCGGGGGGTCTGAGATGTTCTTGGCCAAGGCGATAGTCGACAACGAGAAGAAGATCAGCCCTCGTCTTCGGGCGCACTTCCGCGCCATCAACGGCGCCCACGTCCGGCGCCCGAAGGATGCTCGGGGGCAGGTGGAGATGCCCGCGACGAAGGCCAACGAGTCCCCCTCGGCGCACCAGCGCATAGACGTCGACATCAGCAGCCCGCTCATCGACAAGATCACGGACGCGATCAAGGAGGTCAAGGTTGTGAAGGAAGACGACTCCACCGACAGGGCGACGGAGGACCATGCTTGGATGGGCGTCCACGAATCGATGCGCGGCGTGATTGATGTTACGAGGGCGCGCGAGTGGCCGTTTTGAAGGCTTGCGACGGTGTCTCCGCGTGCGAGGCTTTGCCAGAGGACGTCAGGGGTCTCATGGCGCGCGTGATTACGACCTTCCTCGATGGCTCCACCATTGTCGCCGCGGCGGAGATCTGGCTCGAGGGCATGCGGGAGGCCGTCGCCCCCGCCGCGCGGACCTTCCCCATGCCGCGGCCAGCGGCGGATGAGGGGGGTGAGGGGGTCCACTCCTTCTACATCGGTAGGACATTAGGTTTGCATTCCGCGTGGGCGTCATTGGCCCAGGGCACCTTCCCGAGCGAGCGCCCAGAGTTCGAGGTCGTGGTTCTTGCAGTGCGCTCGAAGATCATCGTTGCAAAGGACGTTTACGACATTGCGAAGAACATCGGCGACACTCGCGAGTGCGATGTTGCCTTAGACTTGCAGGCGTGGCCCGAGGTTTTCGAAAAGGAGGCGACGGTCAACCCGTACTGCGCAATGTTCAACATCGACAGCGACACTTTCCCCACTAAAGGCATGCTGACGCTCTTCAACGTTTTCCCTGGCAACGTGGCCCCAGACGCCCTGAGCGAGCTCCTCTCGGACCGCGTCGCTGTCGACCTGAGGGTGCCCCAGAAGGTCATCGACGCGGCCTCTTATTTCTCGTTGCCGAGTGAGTCAGTGCAGCTCGCGAAGCTTGGACATATTGCCAGCCTGGTTGAGGAGATAGCTGGCCTCATGGACGCCAACGAGTGGAAGGGGGGATTTTGGAGCTGACCGAGCTTCTCTCGGACTTGCATGTCGCGATGAACCTGCGCGAGCACGCGGATACCTTCAAGGCGCGTCGTCCGCAATTTGTTGTTGCGATGTCCGTCTTGAGCTCGGCTCGGACGACCTCCATGGACGTGCAGCTCGCCAAGTTCGGTTGTGTTCGCACGCTAGCCCCGAGCTTGATTGTCTTCGACGGCTTCAGGGATGCTGCGTCGAACTGGGACATCACCAAATTCCAGTGGGTCGGCGACGATGCGAATCCCGAGATGCAGGAGTTGGCCAGCAGGATCCAGTCGGCGAGCCAGCAGTTGTCCACGCGGGCGAGCATGGTCGAGAGGATCGGGTCGCAGATGTCTTTTGCAGGGGGTGGGGGGCAGAAGAACAGAACAACGCGAATGACATTTTGAGTGAGCTGCGGTCGTTTCGCCAAACAGCTTCTGATGCAGCAGGCCATCTGGCCTTGGGCACGCCCGCGACTGCCTGCACCGAGTTTTCGGTCAACAGCGACGAGACGAGCTGGAAGGAGCTCGGCGCTGCTCGCAAGATGGCAAGACCATCTTGAAGATGCCAGAAGAGGAGCACCCCGCTTCGCTGCCCCTCCAGAGAAGGCCAGCGAGATGCCGAGCGCTGCGTCCGCTGCTGCACCTTCTGCCTCCGCCGCCTCAGCGCCAAAGCCGTCGGCGGCGGGCGCCGGTCCGAAGAAGAGGGCTGCGCTGAAGAAGGTCGGCCACGCCTCCTAGGCGCGCCGTCGACTGGACTGCGAGGGGGGTGAGGAGGAGGGCGAGGAGGATGGGGCCCAGGAAAATAGGGGTGAGTCGGACGATAGGGTGGGGGGGGCGAGTCCAAAACACCCGGGTGGGCGCGTGATCGCTGTTGTCACTGTGTCACAGTGGTTGCTTGTTTTGGGAGCGCGAGTTCGCGCTGCGGCCCCTCGACCGTCGATCAAGGGGCAGCTTGGTTGGTAGTCCATGCGAATGATGCGCGTGGCGGGAGTAGCTCGATTTTGAATGTGCGGGTGACGATGACGACCGACGATCGTTGTTGCGATCGTGGGTCGCCACGTCGTCCCGCATGCATCCAGCCCCCCTCTGCTCTGCCTCTCTCGCCTGCCTGCCGCCTCTCTTACTGAGTACCCGTTCGCGGCGCAGGCGGGGCGGGTCTTGCCCGTGTTCGCGCGGAAGGGGGTGGGAAGAGGGCAGGGGCGGGGAGAGGGGGAAGCGGGGGAGGAGGCAGGGCACGAGCGGAGGAGGTGGGAGGATGGGCGATGAGGGGATGAAAGGAATGCGGCCGACGAGGAAGGGCGGCGGGAGGGAGGCGAGAGAGGGGAACTGGGCCGCCCCTCCACTTTCCCACCTTTGCCTCCTCGCCACCCCTTCCCTGCCCCTCCCTCCTGCGCCCGCTGTCCTTCCTTCCTCCCGCTGCTTCCAGTTCCTCCGTTTCCTCTCCCTCTGATTCCTTGTTCCGTCCTTTGTGGTATGCTTCCTCCTCCTGCCCATTTGCGCCTTCACTTGCCTGTCCCCCTTCCCCTTTCCGTGGTCTGCCGACCACCTTCCTCGGTCGACTTGTTATGTAGCAGTGCGTGACGTCGCCCATGTGGCAACGTTGAGCGTTTCGCAGTGCAATGCGTGTAATACGTACATATGTGTCTGCGTGAGGGCGCAACCGCGAACAGCACCCAACTTTACACGCGCGATGTCCCCGTCCGAACCTCCCCCCAAACAAGTTCACCATATATCCACGACAATGCTTATACAGCTCTGGGCCGTTTTCTGGTAATCGTCGTTGCGTCCCCGCCTTCCGTCGGCGCTGCTGGCCGCCGCCAGCGCGGCGCCGGCGCCAGCGCGGGGGGGGGGTGGACCCCCCCCCTCCACCAGGCCCCCTCTGGTTATCGTCGCTGCGTCTCCGCCGTCGGCGCTGCTGGCGGTCGCCAGCGCTGGCGCCTTCGCCAGGGGGGGGGCGGGTTGGACCCCTCCCCCCCCTTGGGAGGGGAGGGGGTTCGGGAGGGGGGGATTTTAGGGGGGAGCGGAACCCCCTCTGGTTTTGATCGACGGCGCCGAGTGTTCGGGGGGGGGCCCACCCCCGGGTTCGAAACGCGCCGCCGAATGTTCCCAAGGCAAGCGCCCGTGAAACGCGCTCTCTCCTGGCGGTACCTCGTGTCGCCTGCCAGGCCACGGCATTTGGTGTCCAGCTGGATGTAAATGGTGGGGGCATGGCCCAAGAGCCTTGCCAACGGCAGACCCCAGCGGCGGATCTGGGCGAGTGGGTGGTGAGAGAGCGCAGGAGCGATTCACATCAGAACTCACATGCCCCCCCCCCCCCTCCCTGGTCCCTACACCCCTAGGCTTCACATATGGGTTCGGGTAGATGGGGTTGGAACATCGCACCGCATGGCCGATGCATCGGCAATGCGGGTCGATGTGGAGCCCGATTTTCTCAACGCCGACGTCGCTGACGCATCGCCGACGTCGCGTGTGCATCGCCGACGCATCGACGATACATCGGTGATGCGTCGCGATCCTCCGACCCCGTCTACTCCAACCCCATCTGGGAGGCCTATATCCTGGCCCCGCCGGATTGACGATGACGACGACGATGACGACGACGACGACGACGATGACCACAGATCCACGAGTGCAAAGTGCGCCCAGCATTCAGCAAGCATCGCCATCGCCATCTCATCCTCATCGTCCCGCCGCCCCCCCCCGACCGGCAGGTCGACCCTGGCGACCTCTTGGGGCAGGTCGGGTGGGGCTGGGACAGGGACAAGTCTGCTCCAGAGCGTTCCGGAACGCTCTCAGAGCGTCTGGGATCGTTCCTGAGAAGGCCGCGGCGCCCGAGATATCCAGAGCCGCCGGATTTCAGAGATTCCCGATTCGTGGGCGTCGGAAGCCATACATATCCTCTGCCCCCTGATCGGGCCCTTCCTGGGCCCAGGATAGTTGTGTAAACGCTCTCTGGACCAAGCCAGGAGGACGTGGCGTCTACGCCGCTGCTGGGTTCAGGATGGGCCTGGCCAGGGAGCAGTGGATATGTATAGATTTTGTCGCCCTTCGGCGGCAAGCGAGGGGGGGAAGTGAGAAGGAAAACATGTGTTAAAACAACATCAAGACTTCTCAGACCCCCGCGCCTTCTGAGGTGCTTTCGGTGTCTTGGGGGAAGCCCCAGAACATTCTTCAGAAGGCCGGGTGCCTTCTGAGCCTTGCCTGAGAAGGCCTTCTCCTTCTCACCTCCCCACGGGCTTGCCGCCGAGCCAAGGATCTATTCGGATCCAACTCCTGGGAGGTCAAATTCTGACTTTGCTCTGGTCCGAATTCCGGCTCAATCCCGCTGAAGCCGGCTTCGTCCCGCTTCATCCCGCCTGGTCCCGCTGAGTCCGCGGCCTAACCCGGCGCCGCAGCCTCCCCGCGGGGCTCAAGCCTCCCTAAGTCCTTCCGACGAAGGACCTCCCAGCAGCTGCCTCCTAAGACTCAAGCAGTGACGAAGCGTCCCGGCGTCCCTATAGGCCTACGAAATGTTTCCACGAAGTGTTCTTAGAGCATTCCTGTCTGGGACGGTCTTGTTTTAGCACATCGGGCACATGTTCCTAGAACATTGTTCTTGTTCTTGGAACAGTTTGGGGTTCTAAGAACATGTCGTGGTAGGCCTGTAGGAATGCCGGGACGGCCGGCCCCTGCAGCAGCCTCCTGATTTGAACGCCCGAAATGGGTACGGAAAGAATGGGTACGATGCCCAACAGCAGTTACTGTTCATTTTGAACGGGGCTCGCTGTCCGCGCCGCCGCGGCCTATGTCCATTTGAGACAGGAGGCCGCCGGCCCAACAGCGGCCGCTGTTGGTTTGGGACAACATCTGTTGTTGGGCATTGTGCCCGTTCCTTCCGTGCCCATTCCGGGCGTCCGAATGAGACTCCTCCTCGCCCGCACTCTTTGGCCTCGCCCCGGCCAGGGGGCGGCGCCGCCGCCCCGGGGGCCCGCGCCGCCGGGGCCGCCGGCCAGCGGGCGCGCGCCTGCGGGGATCCTGGGCGGGCGGCGGGTGGCTCCCGTGCTGCTCCGTCGTCCTTCCTCCTCGTCCTCCTCCTCCACCTCGTCCTCGTCCTCCACCTCCACCTCGTCCTCCTCCTCCTCCTCCTCCTCCACCTCGTCCTCCTCCTCCTCCTCCTCCTCCTCCTCCTCCACCTCCTCGTCCTCGTCCTCCTCCACCTCGTCCTCCTCCCCGTCCTCCCCTCGTCCTCCTCCCCGTCCTCCTCCTCCTCCTCCTGTTGGTGCTCCTCCTCGTCCTCCTTTCCTGGGCAAGCTGGTGGGCCTCAGGGGCCCGAAGTGTCGTCCTCGTCCTCCTGGTCCCCCTCAGTCTCCTTCTCCTCGTCCTCCGTGTCCTCGTCCTTGCCCTCCCCTTCCTCATCGTCCCCTTCCTCGTCCTCATGCTTTGTCCACCTGGTTCGTCCTCCTGGTTCGTCCTCCCCCGTTGTAAGTCGACACCGTACGTACGCGTTGTACATCGAGAAAGACTTGTAATAACAAATATGTGGGTAGAGTTCACGGCGGCGGTAATGCATTCATTGTTGTTTTCATATTCTTCACGCTTCGCGTATCCCCACCAGCCCTTTAGTCGCGGCCGCAGCCCGACCGTGACTGCTCGCCGCCAGCGCTTCCGCCTGCGGCTGTAAAACAAAAAAAAGTATCCCCACCAGCCCGTTCAGATACCTTGCCCATCAGAGCTGACGGGCAAGTGGCGAGGGGACATCTATTGTGAAACAAAGCGAGCAACCAGGATGAACAGGGAGATCTCTGGGAGCGCAGGGGTGGCCTTGGATGGTCTCTTCGGCGGGCCAGCTCTGGGGCCCGCCGGGGGGGCGAGGGGAGGAGTAGGAGGAGAAGGAGGAGGAGGACGAGGATAATGGATTCAGGAAGTGCGCGGTGCACGCCGCACGCAGGCGGGACGCAATGGCAGGCAACCGGCATCCCCGACCTCCACTTTACAAGAGAAAGCGGACCCGACGGCGCGCGCACCGGGGAAGCTGGGGCTCCGCGCCCTTACGAACCCTTGCGGACCACAAGCCGTCAGCTTCGCAGAGCTGAGCGAGCCTCCAGGCACTCCAGTGCGTGCCGAAGGCACTGTGGTGAGCCTTTCCTTATCGAAGGCGCCTGCGGCGAATCACCGCCGTCCCCTGCCTTTGTGGAAGCGCCCATGTGGCCGAAAGTTGGGCTAGAGCTAGGTCAAGCTATTGGACCATGTGTTCCCGCAGCCGTCCTTGAAACCCTTCGGGGAACACGTAATGAAGTTGAGACTGAGGAAGTGTTATTATTATCAGTAGTAGTAGTAGTAGTAGTAGTAGTAGTAGTAGTAGTAGTAGTAGTAGTAGTAGTAGAAGTCGTAGTCGTAGTCGTAGTCGTAGTCGTAGTCGTAGTCGTAGTCGTAGTCGTAGTCGTAGTCGTAGTCGTAGTCGTAGTCGTAGTAGTAGTAGTAGTAGTAGTAGTAGTAGTAGTAGTAGTAGTAGTAGTAGTAGTAGTAGTAGATAGTAGTAGTAGATAGTAGTAGTAGATAGTAGTAGTAGATAATAGTAGTAGTAGTAGTAGTAGTAGTAGTAGTAGTAGTAGTAGTAGTAGTAGTAG